GTGTGTGTGTGTGTGTGTGTGTGTGTGTGTGTGTGTTTGTGTGTGTGTGTGTGTGTGTGTGTGTCTGTGTGTGTGTGTGTGTGTGTGTGTGTTTTATTTTAATCTGGACTTCCGGACACCGATTTTCACAACCGGACTGTCCGGGTCTGGTTGTCTGGATGTCCGGTTTGTTGTCCGGTTAACCGGACGCCCGGTTCCATACAGACACGGGCCCGTTACCGGTGTTTGGATGTCCGTGTGTCCGTGTCCGGGGCGACCATGGTTGCTATCCAACTGCCCCAGTTCACCACAACCCTCATGCTCTCTGATTTCGTTAGCAAGAGTTTCTTTTGTTTTTGCGGGCGGAGCTGCAACAGGTAAGCTAGTTTTGTCCTCACTTTCACTGACAATTTGTGAGTGCCATGGGACGACAGAAGAAGGGATCACATGGTGTTTGACGTAACTTCGTATGATCTAGAGCTGCTTGAGTGGTATCAGTATTTTCTCGTTGGCCAGGAATGGTATACGGCTGGAGGGCCACAGCAGGAAAGCTCTCAACTTCCATTGCCTCTAGGGGAGAATCCAGCTGCTCTGCAACTGATCTGGCTGCTATAACCATGGATATAATGCAGCGCCAACCCTAACATTTACGTCAGGGAAACCCTGTGCAATGCCATTCTGTGAGCTTGCAGGTGCAGTTCAGTTAGCATGCCCACAACATAACCTTTGCTCTGATGACCATGAAATGGGTCACTGCCCGACTGTTGCCTTGAGGACTGCGAGGCATATGTGTCATCCGTTCATTCATTTCAACCACTTTTTAGCTGCTGGTTATGTCGGCGCGTGGAACAGGTATTGAGTCTATTGACATTTTCCGGTACTGAGACGGGTGTGAAGGGATGGCTATCCCATGTATTGCTGAAAGCCTATCATGGCATCATTTGTTCTCGGTGGTCCTAATGCCGTTGTGGTGCCCTCAGCACGTCAGAACAGCACAAAGTAAGGCTGTGCTGCTGCTACTGACTCACACCATGCTGTTTGTTGCCTCGGGCTTATCAAGGCGAGGCAGCGCATGGCACACTGGGTGGAGCAGAAAGCTGTTCGCTGTGATGGGGATTTTTTGAAATAGTGCTGGGATTGCTATTTTCCTTGTAGGTAGTTGAGAGGGCACTCCAAATGATTAGGAGATCTTCACATGGCCAAAGGAAGGTGGTGAGTCGTTGTCTGTGACCTTGCTTTCAGTCTACAAACCCAAGTTCTTGAGTCATTGCTTCTCCGTGTTCTGTTTCAGTTTGTGAACGTTGTTTGTCAATATACAGCTGACCTTGTAGGGTAGGGTGATGCATGCATGGCCATGTGTGTGTGACTCTTCAGGAGTTGAAACCGAAGATGTGTTCCAGTCTTTGCCCTTCCTCATGCAGTAGAATGTAGTTGGTTTTGCATCATAGCCCACATTGCGGAAATGACAAAACCTACACAGTCTTGATTTGGAGTTGGTGCTTGTACGGGGATGCTGAGAAATCTAGCCCAACCAACTGGGACTTGGAGGGCTGAGGACCGTCTAGATTGCCTGGGTGATAGTCCACGTAGTGGAGGTTTTCCCTTGCCAGTGGCCTTCCCTGACTTTTTCGTCGATCCCTTCTTGCCATATTTGCTGCTTAATGCAGGGCTTGCCTTTCCGCCACTTTATTTTCATAATGGAGGGGTGCGTGAATTCTTGAGCGTACTACGGGAGCATGCCCTTCTTGTGAGGTATGATTCTTTAGCAATCATTGGGAGCATCTTGCTGTGCTAGAACGCATTGCAGTCAAATGTCATTAAGTGTGTGCCTAGCAGATTGGAAAGGTCATTTCCCTGTTTTGAAGAGAGAACTGCATGCTCATTGTCTGAATAAGGTTCAGAATATTCATCTTTGTAGGTGATCGCTCTGTTGAGGAAGATGTTTCGCCTTGTCATGGGAAGAACAATGCACGGCTCACGTTGTGTATTGAAAGACTGTTTTGTTGGTCATGTGCAGTTATTACCCTGCGAACTGTCTTTAGTACTCTTTACACTTCTGACAATATAGAACCCAGTAGAACCGGCTTTCTCTTTGAGCTCTTTTCCTTCTCCTCTCTCCGGTTTTGTTCAAACTTGAAGTCTATATTGCCTGCAGTGACAACATGTCTCTCTGCTGCAATAGTCAGTGGCAGAAAACATAAAACTTGGTGATGCCTACCGTCTTCATCCGAATAGAACACCCGGTCATTATCGCTGTACTGAGTGTACTCTGAGCATCTTTCGATCCAGATGCAGCGATAATGACTGGGTGTTCTATTAGGGTGAAGACGGTAGTTGGCTTTTCGTTCCGTGTGCTCTACCTCTCGCTCTCACTTGCGCAGCCTCTGTCCCTCTTGCTTCGACTCTGTTTCTCTTTCCTTGTCTCTCTCTTCTGCCCTTCCTCCTGGTCTGTCTTTTTTTTCGGAAGAAAAAGAAACAGGTCCTTATGGGCCCGGCCTCATATCCATTCTGGGGAGCATCAGTAGGGCCCGGCAAGTCTGAAAGATTCATGATGTACTCACTCTTGAGTGTTGACGCTTCCCCACGGCCCCTGACAACACTTATTGCTTCTCTCAGAAGGATTGACTGTCATTTAAGCCCATGCCTTGTGGACAATACCCTTCCTATAATCACTACTCCCCTTAAGAAACATGCCTGAAAATGAATCCGCTTGAAGGATCAGTACATGCTAACCATCAGCCGCAGGCCCCTCTTGGAGACCACCCACCATCAGCAGCGGGCCCCTGTTGGAGACCGCCCACCGCCGGCATATTCTAGGAGAGGCACAATCGGATTCTCAATTTGTCTGGGGCCATGTACTGGTGGTTTAATCTTTCTCAGTCCAATGTGAACTGCCTGAAAATAAACCAGAGTCCCTAGGAAAGGCAGACCAACGTCATCCATCCAAATTTTGACGAGAAATGCCCTGGTAGAAATACCTCTACTTCTGTTGAACTTTGTGTTCCTGCCCCTCTTCCTCCTGCTGTGTAACCCCTTTATGCTACCTCCCACATGTATGTGTTGCCTGCAGCCAACTGAACCCCACATCGATCGAATACTTGAACTTTGTTTTACTGTTCTCCAATTCTCCAAGAAAGCCTTGTTCTAGGTGTTCCTGATCAATGCGTTTGGAGTAGTTTCTCTTTTGTCTGTGTTTTTTCGAATTTTCAGGATGCAGTGTTTCTATAGTACTCGTATTTCCGTTTCTATGGTTTTTCTCTTTGTGTCCGTAAGTATTCCCTGGGTGTCTGCCCGGAGTTCCTGAGGGTAGCTTGGCATCGCCGCTTCCATGAAGTCCACAAAGCGGCTTTTCTGATTATTTGGAGAACGAGTGTTGTAAAGGAGAGTCCAAAACTGTGGGTTTGAAACTTGTCAAGATCTTCCTTGAGTCCGTTGTAAGGGTCGTTCCTGTTCCTTCTGTCCGAACGACTTCCACATCTCGGTTGCCTGGGGGAAGAATATGGAGCAGTGGGCGAGGTCCTCTTTTAGCCGGTTGTTGCATACTTTACACCAGGTTGGTTGTTCAGTGCGTAGCTCCTTTCTTCTACTCTGGTTCAGCCTGTTGTTCACTGGTACCACTTGGTACACCAATAGCCAAAGGAGGCTAGCAATCTTCATTGATCTGGCACTGCTGGCTTCTCCCTAGTTCATTTCCCGTCCACTCCTGGTTGCAAGTTCAGGAGTTTTGTCCACCTTTTGTTAACTAACTCACAGCTGTGCCACCAACTAAGATTGGATTGACTCGAGCTGGTGAACTCATTGTCGTACTGGTGAACTGATTGTCGTACTGGTAAACTCGTTGTTGTAGGTCCAAGTTCCACATTCCAGAATATAGCCATTGTAAAAAAATGGAGTTTGATCCTTGCTCCGAATGAACGCTAGCGATGTCCTTAACACATTAGTGTTTTGCGGCAGCTTTCTCAGGTTATATCCTAGCTCATTACTATACTCAGTGATGGTGAAATGTCTACCCTTCCCAAGGAGTCCCTCCCCAAGCCCAGAACAATTCTTCCAGGTCAATGTCCAAGTCATGAATTGTTTTCGTTGGGCAGTAAGCTATTCTTCACAACTCTTCTAATTTTGGTGATGCCTCTGTTCTGGGGCTATCTTCTTTTTTCACAACTCTTCTAATTTTGGTGATGCCTCTGCTCTGGGGCTATCTTCTATCCTCCTTGTAGTTCCCCTTCCCTCTTGGAAGCAATGCCTCTGCTCTGGGGCTATCTTCTATCCTCCTTGTTGTTCCTCTTCCCTCTTGGAAACAATAGATGTTGAAGGTAGCCCATTCTTTCTTCCATCCTTACCTTTCGCAGCAGGCGAAGACTTCCTCTAGCTCCTTGTTTGAGTTGCTTGTTGTCCAGTCACCTCTCTCCGATTCTGAGTTGTTTTCAGCAGCTTTCTCCATTTAACTGGGATGCTTTACTGTACTTCTATCAGGTTCTCCTGTAGGTTGTGGGAGCCATTCAGTTTCTTAGTGTCTTTTTCTGTTCTCCATTCCTTTTTGTGCTCATTCCATAGATGCTTGGTCTGCGATATTCCCTTTTCCAGCTAGTTCCCCCATCTAGACTGTGCTCATTCCATAGATGCTTGGTCCACGATATTCCCTTTTCCAGCTAGTTCCCCCATCTAGACTCAGCTTTAGTGAGGGCCCATGATTCCCCTTCGTCATTGAGGATGGTGGTGCTACTGAAGATGAGCTGTCTTAGGACTTCCGGTGTTGTTTCCGGATTTATTCAGTTATTTGGGAAGATCAGTCTCCACATGGCTAAGAGTTCTGTCCATGTATTTCTGGTGTCTTCTTCCTCACGTTTTTCATCTTCATCGGTTGATTGTTTGTCTTCTGTTCTTTTTCTGCTTGAACGTGACCATTGGTTGCTCATTATCCAAAAAAGGCCCTTCGTGTCCGGCAGTTCCCTGAAAGGAGGCAGTTTGTTTATCTTGGGTACTCCTAAAGCATAACCCGGTCCTTGTGTGATGCCCCCCTCGGCCCCCGGGCCCAAGGGAAATCGGAGGCACTTGGGGTCCTGGAACTGAACGTGTTTTCGGGCTGGGCCGTCGGTTCATTGGGAAAGTCTGTGGTGGTGCGGCTACCTTTTTTCTTTGTGGGCCAGGCCGCATCAGTTCTTTGGCAAAGTCTGTGCTTCGGGGGGTAGTGTTCGCACGTGGCCAGTTTGAATACAAGTACATAGTAGGCCGACTCGACTCCATGGTGCATCATTCCATTGTCCGTGGTGCGTCATTCCATTGCACAGGGGAAGATCCATTCTCCGGGGTGCAAGCGGGAGGAGAAGGGAGACAACGAGGAGCAGGAGGAGGACAGTGGGTCTCGCTCCACTAATCACCACGTGCAGAAAAGACAACACTTATGCTCTCGTATCTTCCTGTGTTCTAACGGAAGGTTCATTCTCATTTTGCACCTTTGGTGAGCAGCGCAGCGAATCCCAGTGAATGGGAGGAAGAGCGCCAATAGGAGCGGGAGGAGGAGCGGCGGGATGACAGGGGGGGGGGGGGGGGGGGGGGGGGGGGGGTGGATGATGAACATGAAGAGAACGAGTGGCAGGAAAAGGAGTGGAAGGAGGAGGGGGAAGACGACAAGCGGGAGTGGACGGAGGAGGGGGAAGGCGGCTAGCGGGAGCAAAAGGACGATGGACAGGAGGAGGGCAGTGGGTCTCGCTCCACTACTCACTGGATGCAGGAAAGACAAAATGTATGGCTGCGTATCTTTTGTTCTCTCTTTCTTTTGGCCCTGTATCTGCCAATGTTCTAGTGGAAGGTTCATTCTCATTTTGCACATTAGGAGAGTAGTGGAGCGAAGCCCAGTGAATGGGAGGAATGACAGGACGAGGAGCGGGTGGAGGCAGGGTGGGATGACGAGCAGGAGGAGGAGGGGAGGACGAAGAACAGGAGGAGAACGAGTGGCAGGAAAAGAGAGGAGGCGGGGTGGGATGAAGAGCTGGAGGAGGAGGGGAAGGACGAGAAGGGGGAGGGCGAAGAAGAGGAGGAGAGTGAAAGAGAAGCGGGAACGAGGAGGAGGAGGACAGTGGGTCTCACTCACCACATGAAGAAAAGACAAACTTATGGACGTGTATCTTCCTGTGTTCTAGCAGAGGATTCATTCTCATTTTGCTTCTTTGGTGAGTAGTGGAACGAATCTCAGTGAATGGGAGGATGAGCACCAGGAGGAGGAGCAGGGGGGCGGGACGACAAGCAGGAGTGGGAGGATGACGAACATGAGGAGAACGAGTGGCAGGAAAAAGAGTGGAAGGAGGAGGGGGAAGATGATGAGCTGGAGTGGAAGGAGGAGGGGGAAGACGAGCGGGACGACGAACACAAGCTGGGGAGTGGCAGAAGGAGGAGCGCAATGGGGAGGGGGAAGATGATGAGTGGGAGGAGGAGGAACGGGAGAAGGAGGGGTAGCAGGACGGCTATGAGGAGGGACTGTAGGAGGAGGGGCAGAACGATGAGCGGGAGAAGGACAACACTGAACGGGGCCGCAGAGGGGGAGGACAACGAGGTGCAGGAGGAGATTGACGAACAGGAGGAGGAGGAGATTGGGGGCCCTCGGGAGAAGGAAGCAGGAGAAGCGGAATGAGGAGGTGGAAGATGACACTGGATGGGAGGAGGGCGACAAAACAAGCGAAAGGAGTGCTGGGAGGGGGAGGAAAAGCAGGAGGAGCGACAGGAGGAGGACGACGAGTGCAAGGAGGAGGAGCAGGAGGAGATGATGACTGGGAGGAGGAGCGGGAAGGGGACCGGGAAGAGGAGGCGGTGGAGGACCAGGAGCTAGTGACCGGCCTCCCGCCCCATCTCCACCTCCTGTCTTGCCCTTCCTCCTCCCGCTCCTCCTCCCTCTCCTACGAGCGGAAGAGAAGCAGGAAGGAGAGGAGCAAAAGAGGGAGGAGGAGGGGGAAGGGGACAAGCAGGAGGGGAAGCAGGATGTGGTGGCAGAGTAGAAGCCGGAGGAGGGGAAGGAATAAATAACAGATGACGAGGAAGTGGGCGGGGAGAAGGAGGTGAGCAGGGAGGAGCACAGGTGGAGAAGGTGGTTGGAGGAGGACGCAAGGGCGGAGCATGGGGTGGCAGGAGGAGCACAGGTGGAGAAGGTGGTTGGAGGAGGAGGAGGTGGCGGGTGAGGAGGGATGGGCTGTTTGTACTCTGGGCATTTTTTTTATTTTTTATTTTGACTTATAGAGAGAGAGATTGTGCTCCGTCTCCTTTTTCACGAGACCTGGCAGGAGATGGGGGGCAGCAGGAGGTGTGCTGCGGACGTAGCCACGGTTGGGTGACTAAGTGCTAGGGCATGCCAAGGTAGTTCCGTATCCACTTAGTTTGTAGGGCTTGGATCTGTTTTGCCACGTTTAGACCCCCGTTATCTCTGCCTTGCATAGTGTATTTCCAGGCTACCTTGTGAATGAAACTCTCTTCATTAGGATCTCCTGCTCATAGGTATGTGGTTGCCTTTCTGCAGATGTTCTTTAGAAAGCTTGGTATCATGTACCGCATCATCGAGTGCACTGACATGTTTGAACTTCAAAGCTAGTGCTGTACCCTTAACAGAAGTATGTAGTGCTCTCCATGCCTTCATTCAGTTGTAGTAAGGTTGCAGCACTTGGGTTGGTTCCCTTATCATCGACCTGGATTCCCAGGAAGCATCAAAGCTAGCGCTGTACTCTTAACAGAAGTATGTAGTTCTCTCCATGCCTCCATTCAGTTGTAGTAAGGTTGCAGCCGCACTTGGGTTGGTTTCCTTATCATCGACCTGGATTCCCAGGAAGCACATCCTGCGCAAGAGCGCACTTTCTTTTGTTTGATTGAGAGAGTTATCGTGTAATATGTTCTGGTGGAAACCATTGCATGCCTGGGGGTGTGATTTCCAAAGGAGGAGGTTGATCAGTCATCCAGCACGCTGTTGTTTGCTCCATCCAGCTTTCATTTCCGATGCCAGTATGGAAGGCCTGCATTGCCCTTATCAGTACTCTGAAGGAAGAATCAGAAGCTCTGATGAGAACGGTCAGATCATCCGCAAACAGGACATATGAAATCAGTTGTTGTCTGTCTGCAACCACATTGTGATCTTTTAGCCTTTCGCTTGAGGGCTCCTTTCTTAGAAAGCTGGCTATTGCTTCCATTACAGAAAGAAAGAAAGGAGCTGCTAGCTGGTCTTTTTGCCATACAGATTTGCTCATTTTGTATGTATCTGATAAAAGATCCTTTTCCCTGCGCTTTGCCATCAGCATCGTTTTTTATTTTTATTTGTGTGTCATGATGTCATCCTTGCGCAGGGGCCATGCTTATCATTCCAATTTTAACTGATGTCCCGAGGGACCATCATTGTATTTTACCTTGTCACATTTTCTGAAACTCTGGCGCACTCCCATGGCTTCCATGTATTCCTCCAGGAATTTCCAATTGACCTGGTCATAAGCCTTTTCAAAGTCAGAAGAGTGTATGCCATCGTTTACTCTCTTCTCACTTGAATGTTTGATTGATTCGTCTTGTGTCATCACTTTATTTAAGATGAGCGGCCCGGAAATAAAGTCCATTTGGTCGAGGTGAAAGCATTTATTTTCACGTGTTCTAATTTAAGTGGCTAGGAGCTTGGTCGACGCTTTGTGGGAGGGAGATTGGTCTGTAGTTGCGCATCTTTGTCCTTTCGACATCGTGCTACAATCCCCGTACTACTGAGGTGTTACAATCCCCGTCCTGAGGTATTTTCTGAGGCGTTCCTTTGCGTATACTTGCCGCAAGAAAGTTAGCAGGTAATCTCCCAGTTCGTTCCAATTAGCCAGCCAAAATTCCCTAGACAATCCATCTCTCCCACGTGTGTTGTTCGGTTTCATTAAGTTCAGGGTTTGATAGAGCTCCTCTTTCATAATACACTGTAAATGAACAAGGGAAGCCTTCTGCTGCCTTCTTTTGTCATCCACATCTGTCATTTGTGCGGCTACCTTCACCTAACCCGGTGATGGGTTCAGAGTGCACTAAGTGGCACCACGTTAGTGTATTTGTTAGTAAATGATTTCAAAATGTCATCCGTATGCGAAGATTCCAGGAATGGATGATAGACACATACTTTTTGCCCTGCATGTCTCATGTTTCTTGAAAGCTATACTATGAAAGCAAGGCTGTTCGTGAAGAAAAGGGAACTATGGGTGTAGGAGAAGCAGCTACTAAGCCTCTTTAGCCCTCGTTCATGTTTTGCAGGTCAGCTGAGGATGCAAATGTTTATCTGGTGAACGACATTCAAGACCCTCTTCAGGTAGAAATTGATGGACATTAAGTACCTTGGTGGTAGTTAAATGGTACAGACTTCCACGTGTTGGATGGCTCACCGTACTTGGATGCTGCAGGTATATTCCTGCATCACACTTGGATGGCTCACAGCATGTGCATGCACTGGGAGTTACGCCCCTCCGTAAAATGTTTTGGCTGGCTGGTCGTTGTGGCAGTACTCCTACGCGCCCCGGAAAAGAAAGTTGGGGGTCCCAAAACAAAGACTTCATTGGACCATGCTCAACCACGGCCCGGTGACACTTTCTTTTTCTCTCTCACACCGGCTTCACTAACGTTGCAAAGACTTGATCTACCAGTTCTTTCTTTACTATGCATGTTTAGAACACTGGGGGACTCATTCAACATATGGATTAATGATGGAAAAAGGTGAGCTGAAGCATGGAGTAGGTGGGCTTTCGTTGTGCTACCGGCGCTGCTCAGCAGCCAACATTCATGTGCTTCCACCTTGTTGTTTGCCTTTGCCGCCTGTCGGCAATCTGTACCTAGTAGCATTGCGAAAGGTTACTTCTCTTCCACTACACGAGTACATGTGATACCTTCTGTACCTTTCCTCCTCCTTCCAACCGGAAGTACCCCTTGATCACTTCCAACGGGAAGTACCCCTTGATCGCTCCCACACTTACCTGACTACTGTTTGCCATCTTGGGAACTACTGGCTCTTCCAAATCCTGTACTTTCATCCCTAAACACAACTTCTTTGTTGCCTTACACGAAATGTAACTCCTTGTCGATCCACGAACGCACTTCTTCTAGTCCTACAGACTTCTACATCTTCTAAGATTGGCTCCCCTTGCTCTCTTTTCATGTTGAAACGGTATTCACCTGTTAGCAGTAGCGAATGCAGATCCCAGGGTTGGATCCCTAGTTCTTGCCTTGCCCGTGTACAGTATCTGTGTCGACCCCGAGAGTTGAACCCGTGACCTGTGTATTCACAACAGTTGGTAGGCTGTCGTAGGTCCGTAGGTGGTAGGGGTTCGATCTGTAGACCTATTGGATAGAGGTCTTAGTGAGGCCTAGAGGTCGTAGCTGTAGGTGTCCTGAGAAGTCAAGGTCGTAGCTGCTACAGTCCTGAAAGGTCAAGGTCGTAGCTGCTACAGTGTTCGAAAGGCCAAGTCTCCAGCCTTCCGGAAGGTCCTAGTAGTGGCCTTTCGAAATTTGCTCACRTTTAGACAGAGGCAAGTGGGCAAGTGATGAGCCCAACTGCGGTACGTCGGCGGTGCAACTGCATCGAGTTGGCAGTGCAAACCCATGCAGTCAGCGGTACCGGTCCCAGTCAGTCACAGTCCAGTCAAGCAAGTACCGTGTGGGACTGTGTGCACCAGGGGCATGGGAAAGGGGCAGACCAACGAGCCACAGAAGTATAAATCAAGAGGCAGCGCCCAGCCATTCATTCATTCGTGCGTAAGCCATGCGGAAGCGCTGCTTGAGCGACTTGTGGGGGGTGGTCTGCAGAGCGCCCGAAGACGAAGTGGGCAGAGTTGAGGTGGTGTAGCCATAGCCAGCGGGGTTGAGCGGCCATAGCCGCCGTAGGTGGTAGACGAGTGTAGGGTGTGAGTGTGTGTGAGACAGTGTGTCGCGTGTGGGATATCCAGGGTGATCCCGAGTTGAGTGTGTGTGAACAACAGAGTTGAGCTAGTGACGAACAGAGAGTTGTACAGGCGCTGATGCGCCATAGCCATCTGAAGCGAGCTTGTATCTGAACTG